TGAGTGCTGATGACAAGTCTGCACCAATCAAAAGTCTGAAAGGAACGAACCGTGGTATAAAGAAAGGCTCAGCATGCCACTTAAAACTTGTACTAAATGTTCTTTCTTAATCTTTTGTTTAATTATAGACCTTGAATTCAAGCGTGGCATTTTTCATACTTTAGTAAATGTACCTAAATTTCTTCCAACTGTTAAAAAAAAGGTGATAGACAATCTGTCTGCGATCTGTAGCCCCATTTGTATTTTTTACCGGAGTAAAGTCATCGAAAAAGTATTTATAAGTAAGCTAAACAAGCATCTGAATAAGTTTAGCAAATTGAAGCCCTGTCAATTTGGCTTTCGCGCTGAAAGTTCTACTGACCTTGCTCTTCTCTCCCTCTCTGGGTTTATCAAACAATCCATTGATTCAAAATTTTTAGTTGGATTTGTATTTTGGATTTAACAAATGCCTTTGATACCATAAGGCATCTCATTTTGTTCAAAAAAAAAACTAGAAGTATACCGTGCTGTAGGTTCATTTTACTAGGTTCAGACAAATGCTTTAACAAAAAGCATGTTCATTCTTCTAGGTTCAGACAGTCGCCTTAACAAAAAGCATGTCGTTTGTATATCAGGCTCATTTTCCTAAACTGAAGCAATAGATCGAAGGGTTCTTCAAGGTTCATTACTGGGTCTGTTACTCTTTTTAGGGGTGAACTTCATTAGGCCGTGGGTCGTGCGTCCTCAAAGTATGTAGTTATAGGTAATCTCTCGTTTAGTTCTTGAAATGTTCGCTTGATGGCGGCACTTGTATATGATGAAAAGGTGCGAGTTGGCGGTACTTGGAGTGTTTACTACATGGACAGATGGACAAACGGACGGATGAACGGATGGACAGACAAATATACAGACAGACAGACAGGCAGACAGACAGACAGACAGACAGACAGACAGGCAGACAGACAGACGCACATACGGACGAACAGACGGACGAACAGATGGACAGACAAACAGGTGGGCGGACGGACGAACAGACAGACAGAAAGACAGATGGACGATCAGATCGACAGGCAGACACACAGACGCGGCCAGCGGATGAGCAATTCATGGTTTACCGATAAAACCCTCCGAAGCATCGCCCCACTCTTCATCATTCACTCTTTGAATATGATGTGATTTTTTTACTTTACTATATTGACCTTCATGACATTACACATATGGCTCCCTGCGTTTTAGGTGCTAAAGATACTATCAATTTAATACTGATAGATGCCTTCATACGGTCAGCATAATTTAAATGGCGTACATTGTAGCTTGTGGCTTGGAACAAAATTTATATCTTTACTCAAATAAATTGAAGTTTATAATTCAGATATTCTTAACGTAAGTTAACATCTTCAACAGGGATTGCAATTGACTCTTTTTTTAATAATGTTTGTCACTGTGCATCATATCTTGGCGTTCAAGTCATGCTAACTTTGTGTTCGCTCACCATATTGCCCACAGTAGAAGAATGGCAGCATTGGGCATTCGTGCATTACTGAAAGATAACTCATATTTTTTCATAAATCCCTTCTTTCTCTTTACTTTATCTTCATTTGTTCGCATATCACTTGCGAAATTGCAATAAGGAAGAATCTTTCTTCGATAGATAATCTACAAAATAGGGCTGTTCACGTTATTTTCAACTGATCTCTAGAAGCTCACTCAGATTCAGATATAGCCTAAGTCTGAGTAAGAGAGTCCCTGTCTAATTGAGTTCAACAGAAAAAGATTTTAGTGGATTTGGGTTCGAGTGAGTCTGGTTCAAAAAAGTTTTGGTGAATTTTGTCACAGTAAGTACCAAGGGCAATATATACTTAATAGGTGAGCCTGAGTGAGTGCCAGAATTTTTACCGACCTCTGCTAGCAGCCATGCCGTTACTGCAGTCAATAGGCGTTCAAAGAAAGTTACGGGTGCAAACTCATTTATAGAAGTTCTAGAATTACTTAACAGTCTATCTATCTAAAAGATAAATACAATAAACAGGGCCTTTTCAAAAATAGTGTTTTTTTTTACTTCTCCTGTTGTACTGAGGTTGAAAGAAATTCCTCGTATATAAGCTAACAAAAAGCAGCCCACTGGTGCCAAACTCATGTATGCCGGATTGTTTCCTCAAGGGTGGTCAAGAAATATTTGCATACTTTATTTTTTTGTGTGTGGGTCGTCGCGTGCCTACATTTTGAGGCTGTGGCTGTTTTTTATTTCGCCTATTTGTAGTCAGATTGTTTGGCACTTACGTGCTGCGAATATGACACACTTTTTCGGCATTTGCTACCTTCAAATTCTGCCATTGACATAAACTTGATTCTGTGCTGAAGTTAAAACTATTATTGCGTATTTGCGCTTTGAATCATAGTGAGTATGCTGCCCTCAGATGCGTGTGTTCAGAGGCGTTCGCATTGGAAGGATGGCCACTCCTGCGTCAGAAGAGTGCGGAACAAAAACGGCAATTAAACACGTCCTGCGCAACCGTGCTCACTTTCGCAGTGTTTGAGGCAGTGAAGAAACCGCATGGGAGGAGATGAACAACAAGAGAGAAGGCAGGGAGGTAAACCAGGCACATGCCCGGTTTGCTACCCTACGCATGTCTTGGCAAAGCCATGTATACGGCAGATATACAACGCTTGTATTCTCAACAACAGGCAACATCTGGTATAGAGCGGCTATTCTGTTGTTTAACTAAATGGTGCATTGTGAAATTGATCAAAATGAGAAAAAAGTGCTACATTGACAATGTACAGTAAGGTAAAGCTATAGTTTTCGATTAAAGCCGTTCGTAGCTAAGCTCATGACTATAAAGTGGTTCATACCTATATCTGCTAATATGGACATATCTCATCTATCTTCCACCTATACTCCACCGTATCTCCACCTATAAGGAGATCCGGGCAACTAATTTTTTCTGGAAATGTACACTGCGACTAAAACACGTAAACTAATCATACCATCAAATAATCATTATCCTTCATAGATGAAAGAAGGCAATATTAGAACATGATTTTTTTCTGTTTGACGCAACCTTGCTGACTGAAACTGCCAGTTTGCCTGACGATTGTTATAGCGCGAGAACAAAACACAGAGACTCTGTGTCGTCGTTTCGTTCTCGCGCTATAACTATCGTCATGCCATACCAACTAGCCCAAGCTGCCACACTGCCAGTTTGCGTTGCAAAGTAATACCCCAAATAATTATGGCTTTACGGTCAGCATCATTGTTCACTTTGTAAGACTGTCGAGCACGTAATCCGCAGGCTGTACGTTCACTCCCTGTCGGTGGTATTCAATGTCCTTTCGTCCACTTTACTTTCTTTACATCAATATCACAATTACTACTTAAAGAACGCAGTGAACATGCCCTTTCCTTTACCTGGCTTTATTATCTGCTGGTTCTGATTAGCTTTGTAAGGAATCTTTTTAGGCTCAAGAGCGAAGCAAGATTCACAATGATTATGTTTCTTTTGTATATCCTCTTTACCGTTGGGGAACAAGCTTCTCTACTCATCTTTTCGCTAGTATTCTTTATTGTGAGGTGAAAATAAATCCTCGGCCTGCGCCCGAAACACATAGCGGGCATCTTCCACAACCACGATTTGCTGAAGTATCCTCTCAGAAATGTTTTTGTTTAAAGATCTTGCAGCCTCAGTGAACTAATCCAGCACAAACTAATTCTGGCCTCATTTTACAAACGTGACCTTCAAAGGATCTCGTGCAATTTAAATCCCGCTCTCTAAGAAGGCTTCATTAGCCAGAGGAACTTGGAAAAGACCCGCAAAGCCAGCTTCATTGTTGAGGTCAATGTGCCGGCCGTTGGACCTTTTGTTTCCGCTACACTTGTTATACGCAGACAAAAGAGTAGATCGATTTTCGGCGCCACGTTTTTCCTGCGCGTGAATTTCAACCTTTGGTGCTTTGATGGGTGCGCCTGTTTTTGAAAAAGAACGTATAGGTCCTAGCTGATAGGGCGTAATGGCTCGCTTTGCGTGATCACTGTTCATTTTGTTTTAATGACTATTCTTATACACCGCAGCAGAGTGTGATGGTAGCACTGTGTAATCGCCCCTTCCGTACGCGAATGAAATAGTTCATACAGGTTGTGGTGTACGCGCAATTGTTATTGATGCTCGGCCTCAGACCGGGCCATCATGGGTTGAATAGCAGCCACGACGGTCCCTGCTTTGAAAAAAAATCCGTAATCAAATTTAGGTGTATTTTATAAAACCCAAAGTGGTCGAAATTATCAGTGCTCTACTCTGCGCTGTCACTAAAAGTAACATTAGTGCAACACTATTGCGCCCTGTAGTTCCTATGCGTGAACCAAGTGGCTCTAACAGCACTCTGTCCTCCGTTTAAGTACTGCGTTTTATAAGTGAGTGTACACCCTAGATAGTACTTACCCTTCCGCCTTTCTCTCTCTCTCGTATTGTGCGAACAGTTGTGCCCTATTTTTCCAAAAATACTCCCGTGCCGTCATCAGTTCTGAGAACTGACGAGAGTTTGTTAACTACATGCCAATAATAGCACAACGTTTACTTAATTATTGGTGCGATTGCCTTGATAGGGCTAAATCAGGGCTAATTCTTGATAACAACCGCTTTGAGAATTGCCATGTAGTGTTTCAATGTGGGTGAAAGCTTATGACCTTGCCTAGTAAACCCTTTCACGTACCTTAGCCATAATATTGCGTTTATTAGCCCACCTAGCCCACTACTTTGGCCATATACGTAAAGAGCTGTAGAGGCAGTACGTACAGTCATGAAAAAGGTCCGAAAATTGTCACCTGAGCGGAAGCCATAGCAGCGTGAGCTTTCGCGCTAAAGTGCACCAGAATGGCACCCACACACTGAGGGCTGTGCTTAGCGCTCGCTGGTTTTCAGCCTACCCTGTGTCAACCATTCGCTCGGCTACGCACTTGAACAGCGTGAAAGCCATGAGGAGGCCCATGAGGGCTGCGCAGAGAGGTAGGACATATCTTCACTGACCTTGAACGATCACTTGGATGTGACTTGTATCCTCGCCGTGTTCGTTCTTTGCTTTGCAGGAGTACACTCCTGATTCATCCCGCGTTGGTTCTTGCATGTCCAAGAGTGAGTAAGATTTTCCACCAGATCCTTCGACAGTTTTTATATGGTACCTAAAGGGAAACAAACATACGACACTTGAACTTACAACTTCGTACCGTATATATTTATTAAGAACTTCAGCAGATTTTTTAACGACGTTGGGTTCATTAAAGTGAAACAACTTCATTTTAGAACACAGCAACATGCGCTCACACGCCATACATTTCGCAGGATGCACAAGGTCAGCATAACTGCTGCTTCAGCATGCTCATGTGTGTGGAAAAATATATTTTGAAACTAACAGAGAAAAATATGGCTGCATACCCTCAAACCATCATCAAAATTCGTAGTAGCGCCAATGGCAACACGTATGAGACATCCTGCAGAATTGTTCTGGCATTGAGCATTCTCGCGTTATGCCTCCACTCCTCATACTTAAGGGAGGATGAAGGGCCAATACGACTGGATTTTGATGGCAAATATTCCAGCATAATTGCCTTCTACTAAGTTGCTAGTTTTTGCGCGCAGTGGAAAGCATTTAAAACAGCCCTCAAAGCACCTGATCTCGTGTCTCTGCTACGGCAACTCAAACTTTACATAGCGTTTTTTCCGAACAGTATTTTTCATCAGAAAATGAGCATTCTCTCTATAACTGCGGAAGCTATCGATCGCAAACATTTTTGACACTTCTTCCTGAACATCGTGCGTCCTTTTTGAAACAAAAGATTGTAGTTGTCACCAGAATTGTATAGTTTTTTACTAAAGAGCTTATTTAAGAAAACAGCCTTGCGATTCTAGTCTTTACACATTTATAGAATGGTGAAGCCTACAATTATTATTTTCGTTATAGAGGATACCCTGGGCATATGCAATAACCAGAAGAAATTTCATCACTTTAAATGCAAAATCTTTTGCACAAACGTCAATCCAAAAATAAAAAAGACAAATGTTTGATTTTTATTGTTTCAAAACTGCTTTGCATTTTTTTATCCAATTCGCAAAACGTATAGTATAATCCCTATTTAAGAAACTTGCGAATATTTGTGAAGTTTGCTCTAAATATAACAGAGCGATGTACAGTAGTAGTTGCACGCCACTCTGTGCTGCCTTGTCCCCCCATAATGTTCTGACACGAGAAAGAAGCCTATTTGGTTTAACATTTACAATATCTAGTTTAAAAATCAGATGCGCCAAACTTGGGTCCATTCCCCCTGCTCGCTTTTGCAGTTGGTGGATTACCTTCATGCCTCCTATTGTCTTTCCCCTGACCCTACCTTTTTTCTCATTGTTAAGCAACAAAATTTTCACTTGGTGCTAGCCCTAATGATTTTTATTTTCAATTAGATTAAGATAATAGCTAGTGGCCCCGGAACGAGAACGCACCTTTTTTTCTCACCACATTATACAATTTTCCACCAGACACATGTTAACATAACTCACCAGCACAACTTTCATATAATTTAGAAGAACATATTGCAGGGACAATTATGTTAAATACCATTTTTATTGTGGTGATCATACGTGCTTCTGTTTATGTGTTCATATGTTGGTTGTTCAAAGTAGTCACAGCTAATAAACTGAATACAATAAGTACAGCAAAGATACGGCGGCACACACACCTTTCCGTGTCAATGGGCTTCTGATTTTTCTCCCAGAAGTATGTAGTTGGAGGATCACCGACAGCTTGACAGTGCACTTGCAGGTTTTCACCTTTCTTCACAACGAGTCTCCGGTGTTTTTCCTTGAACTTTGGTGGTACTGGATGAAAAGTAAATGAAAGAAATATTGTACAATTATTCTTCGGCATCAGTCACTCGTGCGCAACTCGTAATTCATATGTGGGGCTTAACGTCCCGAAACCACCATTTGATTATGAGAGACGCCGTAGGGGAGAGCTCCGGAAATTTTGACCACCTGGGGTTCTTTACCGTGCACCTAAATTTCAGCATACGTGCATACAACATTTCTGCCTCCATCGGAAGTGCAGCCACTGCAGCCGGAACTCGATCCTGCGACCTGCGGGTCAGCAGCCGATTACTTTAGCCACTTGACCACCGCGGCGGGGCACGCGCGCAACGCGTAAGTGACCGCAAATCATAACCCCAATCTACAGGGCGTCCCACATAACTTGAGCCAAGATTTTTGCAAGTGAAAGGCACTAAAGAGGCGAATTGAAACAAATGCATACAACTTGCACTAGCCTGTAAGTACTCAGGCAATATTTTCTTTCTCCCCATACTAATAAATAATAAACTTTAATTACCTAGTTTTTAGTTAAGGGCTAGAAACCCAACATTTGAACACTGAGATGCTGAGCACTTTTAGAAACCACTGGCTAAATTGCTTCCTGAACGATACGTCCCGCGCTGTTATTTTTTCTACGTGGTAAAGAAAGCCCGCGGAATGTGAAAAGAAGCCCTGTGACGGGCCGCGAGCGCACTGCTATAGTGCTGCTATAGCTTTCCTTTACAACGCGGAAAAAAATTACAGCGCTAGACGTATCGTACAGAAAACACGTCAGTCGGTGGTTTCTGAAAGTTCTCTGCATCTCAGTGTTCATATTTTTGTATCCAGCCCATAAATGAAAAATTGTGTAATCAAGAAATAAAATAATTAGTACGGGGAGAAATAAAATATAGCCACAGTACCTACAGGCTAGTGCGAGTAGTCCTCGTTTGGTTCAATTCACCACTGAAGTGTATCTCATTTTCAAATTCTTGGCTCTAGTTATGGGGGACACCCTGTATATTCGGTTGTAAGCAAAATACTAATGAGTTTTTTTTTTGTGGAAACACCAGATAATTTCAAAAAGAAACAACATTTCTGGAGTTCGGTGTCATTATTCTAGTACTTACAGCAAACCATAACAACATGACAAAGTTTGATTTATTCAACATTTAATGACGCTTCTTATGCATCGTGTACAAGAAATATTACCTATTTTTTCAAGCTTAAAGATAACGTTGGTAAGGCCGGTTCAAATTAAAAGGCAGTACATCTGCTTTAAGTACCATTCAGGTCTGAAAAATTTGAGTTAAACTACTGTAATAAAAGAAGCAACAAAATTAAAATTAGCGTCTAGGTTATCTTATTATTGCAATTGTCAGATTACATATCATACTAGAGCCTAGCTTTGGTTTAATATACTGAGTGCGACAAGGAATAAGGCTCTATAAATACTGGAAAGAACCAAGGAAAATTGGCAGGTGGGAGGGGGGTGCTATATGCCTTCAGGGCTTTACAACTTCCACCATATTTTGTGTTTACAGTTACTTTATTTCATCCTACTGCTATGTTTTTTTAAGGTTTACGAAACGCTGATTGGACGACGCGCGGCCTCACTGAGCTTCCGCCCGTAAGCCAGCGCAACAGTCAAAGGGTCGTACACACCTTTCACCTTGAGGTGGGCGAGTCTGCTGATTCCTGCTCCGATTCCATTGTCTGCCTCGCACAGATAGAAGCCTCCATCGGCTTCCTCCACCTCACGAATAAGAAGGCTGCCGTTGTTGAACTGGTGGTTTCGAAAGTTGTAGTGTATGTACGAGAAGTTTCGAGGGTAGTTTCCTGTAAACAAATGACAAGTTACAATAACACACAGGCTGTTACAAAAGAGCGTTTAAGAAATCGCGCGCCTCCGATTTCTAATGGCTACGTGAAAACCAAGTGCGAAGCAGGTGCGATAGAAGCCGGCGAAACGAAGAAAGCCAAGCACACGCCTTCTCTCCCTCTAAAGCACCGCCACCACGACAACCTCCTCGGAACTAACACTAGCTAACACTACAAACATCTCGAAGGAAAGGGGCGTGGTACTGTGGAGTTGCGTCCCGTTACAAGAGTGGTAACGTGACAGATTCAATGGATCACGTACGACAAAATTTCTCAGATCATGAATAGTGATATTCCATTAACCCTCAAGAGGAAGGCATATAACAGCTGCATCTTGCAAGTATTTACCTAAACAGCAGAAGCCTTTAAGCTTACAAATAGGGTTGAGCTTAAAGTGATGACAACGCAGCAATCGATGGAAAGGAAAATGATAGGTGTAACTTTAAAGGACAAGAAGAGAGCAGAGTGGGTCAAGGAACAAACCGGGGTAAAAATATCATAGTAGAAACCAGGAAGAAAAAATAGACATGGGCCGAACACGTAAAACGTAGCCAGGATAACCTCTGGTCAATAAACGTAACTGACTGGATTTTCAGAGAAGGCATATGCAAGAAGGGTAGACGAAAAATTGGCCCCGTATCTACATGTTACACTGCAAATGTCGTCGACAGACGATAGTCTTGCACCTGGAGAGAGTGAATAAAACATTTATTCGATGTTCTGCGCAAGAAAATTGGTGATGGAATTCTGGAGGTGCTACGTTGGAGTTCCTCTAGCATGAAGCGGAGGCGAATGAGCGCATCAAGTCCCGTCACACGGGAGACATGAGCGTCAACTGGCAGTTATCCTGGAAAATGAAGCGCGTGGCTTGCGCGCCCGTCTCTGAGGTGTTGAGGTGTAGAACGCAAGGCGACGGGTAGGTGCCACCACCGTGCCATCTTAGCAAAGCGTCGGAAACAATTGCCTTTTCGTGCAAGCGTTGCATGGTCAGTGCAGCGTGATAAACGCTACGGTTCTTAGAATTACTTATGTAAGCCTTTTCTAGTAAACAATACACATACATATAATTCACGTGTTGGTATGGTGCCTCAGATATGTGCAATAATTGCTTTTTAATTTACAATCGCACAAGTATGAACGCTGAAGCTTGAGCAATATTTGTGGGTGCTGCAGATGGGGTCGGCCGTTTGGAGTGTCGTTTGGCCACTCTGGTACCCTTTAGCGCACTGTTAAAAGTGGACAAACAGACCAATGTACAGACAGACAGACAGACAGACAGACAGACAGACAGACAGACAGACAGACAGACAGTCCGACAGACAGACAGACTACAATTTTTGCGTCGAAGGTCCCCAAGAAAGACTAACTTCTTTAAAAGTTAGGTGGGCAGATTAGATTAAAAAGTTCGCGGATATAGCGTGGCAGCTGAAATCACGACACCGGGTTTCTTGGCAGATAAAGGAAGATGCATTTTCCCTGCTGCGGACGCAGTCAGGCTGATGGGTATGATAATGACAATAATGATCCCACCCCTTCCCCAGCCTTGGCTGTCCGGTGCGCCGATAAAATTCGAGAACCTAGGGCGAACGCATATAACAAGCAGCGAGGACTGCGATAAAGAGGAGAAGTGCGAGTTTTCCGCCAATGTGCGAAGGCTTGCCCTGCTGGGATGGAGCAGGCGATGCAGTGATTGTGTTTTCCGCCAGTCGACGAAGACGTCCCCTGCAGTAGCAGCGCGTGAGTGGACGACGTGTTTCCAGCCAAGTTTTGCTATTTAAGTGTGGTCAGGTGACGACGTGGGAGCTTCTGGAAGAGAAACGTCCAACTTAGCGGGTCGACAGCCGACGCTGGGCTCTGTGTGTGTGTTTCGTTGCAGAAAATCATTCAAGCTTTATATTAGGAACTTTGAACAGAATACGTTTGACAAATATTTTAGTTTATAAGTGCCTTGATTGTTTGATGCATAAAGCTGCGTTGTAGCGCATGTTGTTTCTTCTCGTTGTTACGCATGTATGGAAGTACCTTGAGAGATGTCATATTGTATTTGATAACTTGCGAGTGCACACGCCTGTGTGGTGTCTGTCCTGCCTTATCTGAGATATATTTTTGCTTTCTTATCATCTCTCCGCATTGCCTTGTTATTTGAACCACAGCCGGCATTCGCTGCGCACCAAAAGGACCAAAACATTACACAGCCCGTACTTTCTTGGAGCATTTGGGGGGGGGGGAGGCATTACGTGAGCCCTTGAAAGTAGCCTGGCGATTCAATACCTAATTACGGAACTCTAAACAACAGTAAAGTGCATCTGTCAGCCAACAGTGCATTTGCAAGCTGTGTATAACGAAGTGGTTCTACGTTAGGTATAAATACAAAATTTCTAATAATATCTTTGTCGATTACTTCTCTAGGTTTATCTAAAGAACACAAATAAAATACTTTTAGATGTTTTGCGTTGTACGAAAGCCGGATGCACAAAAACATGCTTACTCTACGTGCGCACGACAAAAAACTTTGTGCTCAATTTGAACACAATTTTTATAATTATTCAGAGATTGTAGAGGCCACCATGGTGGTTTATTCAAAAGGCACTTGTAAGGTATCTAGAACTTACTGAATGACTATTTCTTGTGCTTATTTACAGCCCCCCCCCCCCCTGTCATTGCCACTTTTTCAAGGTTTTGAAAAACAAGAACACGTCAAAGGGGACCTTGTAACTTGCGAGTTGACCAAGTAACGCATCTTCGCCTACACTTACGTCAGTTTTACCGCTCTACATGTTTATTAGTGCTGAAGTTGCTTCTCGCCGAGAATATATTTTCTGCATAAAGTTGTTCTTTATATTACTACCAAATCCATGATAAAAAATTTTAGAGGGCCGCATTCGTTAAACCGCCTAAGCTAAAATTGCTCCTGAGAGAAAATTGAAGCCAATCATGTTATTGAACATATACTTTGCGAAGGACGTTTATTGACATGATAAATAATTGAATACAATGTGAATTAGGCCAGCAGGCTGCACTAACTGATATTTCATTGATACATTGTACGCCACCTGAGTACAAGACTGATATTTGACGGAGCAGATAAAAGGACAAACACACAAGTTCCAGCTTACTTTCACCTTTCTTCCACGTCAGGACGGGTGGCGGATGACCATCGGCGGAACAATGCATGATCACCGTGGACGTCAAGACGGCCGACGTGTTCTGCGGTTCTATCTTCCAGCGAGGACTCACTGTATAAAGAGCAGCAGAGGTGAACAGAAAACAAGCCGTTATAGTAATTTAGCACATGTCACACTTTACGCACTTTACATACAGGTATGCATTCTGAATAAGGCAGCGTGTGAAACACAAGAAGGAAGTCAGGACATCTAAAATGCTACTAATGAGTGAAGATGCTCACAGTGGCGGAAAAGAAAGAAGACATAAAAAGTCATCTGCGCCTACCCATGCGATATGCGAACTCATCAATCTGAAACGCGCAGTGGTCTACGTGAAAGATAACTGTTGAGGAATTCCATTCCATTTTTATGCAAATTATTGATGGTTGGCTTACGCATGCGCTGCTGCTATTATTCATATGTCATGCCTCAAACAACAGACAAGTTTCTTCATTCCTATGCAACATTCATCAAATTTTGGCCCGCATTTACACTCTCAGCTACGTAAAAAAAGAGAACCCGGTGTGCCTCCGAATATCGATCTCTCGTTTTCCAATAATCTGTGCGTATTTAAGGCTCTATATGCAGGTACATGTTTTGGCACCTCGCTAGTTAATTTCCCTTGGAGAAAAAATGTCACTATATTTCACAGGTGGTGTCTGAGTACAAGTAGTTTTCATCGATTTATTCTAGGCACTATGTGCCAACATTCTCTTGCAAAATTTTCTACGAAGCAAGCGGTGCTCTTCATCAGAAAGAAAAATATATCGCGGTTTCATTATAAAACAGAGTGAAATATCTGATTAGAAAGAACGTCTACCGTCATGCTCATCGAGGGGAGAAAGGTGCGTGCAAGCTGAACATTTTCATGCTCCACATAAATATTTGTGATAAGCTAAATTAATACCTAACCTTAGCTTATGCTTGGTGGCACAAATGTGATTGCAGAAAAAAATGTGTCTGCTGTAAATTACATCACAGATGCATCAAACGTAACAAGTTTTCGATAATCAAGGAGATGCAGTCTTATAGGTAATTTGACGAGTTCGCACATTCGCACAGCAACGTAAACATAATAGAGGATCGTTCCCTACACCTCTAACAAGAACTGACATGAGAGCACAATTACGGACAAACAAACAATTGCCGAAAAGTAAGAATTCTAGAAAAAAGTCTTCAGATTTTTTTTCCCAACATCTTCACCACACCTTCTTATAATCTGTTGAAAAGCTTGGCGCCACCATATTTGGTCAGATGGGTTCCAGTAATTTCTGTAAAACTAAACGGTTTTCACTTTAGGTAGTGAGCTTCATCGTACAATCTATTTGGGAGGAACCAACCAGTTGAATCTCGTGTGAGTAAGCAGACCCATATTTAGGCGGCTGACATTTGTTTAACGTCGCGGTCCTTTCTGATAAAAATTTGTATAATGAAGAAATTGCATAGCATTTAGGATGCAGCTTCCTGAGACCTACTTGTGACTGCTATAATGTTGAAGCCATAATTACGCTGATTTTCTTTTGCCCTGCCGCGCTGGTCTAGTGCCTAAAATACTCGACTGCTGTCTCTCAGCTCGCGTGATCAAATCACGGCTGGGGCAGCTGCATTTTCGATGAAAAAAAAATGCTGTAGGCCCATGTGCTCAGATTTCGGTCACGTTATAAAACCCCAGGTGGTCAAAAGTTCCAGAGCCTTTGGCTACGGCGTCTCTAATATTAATATGGTGGTTTTGGGACGTTAAACCCCACATATCTATTTATCTACTATTTTTCATGTGAAGATTGCGTAGACGCCGACCACTTCAAAACTAGCAGTTGTTTTATGTACAAATACACCTGATAAGCGAAAGTAATTAGAAATGGGACGCACAGGTCTAGATGCCTGATCTCACTGCTGGCTTTCATGAGAGCGGTATACGGAGCGGCAACGTTATCACAAGGAGCCCAGTTTCGCTGCTCTCCTCGCGAGCCAGCATATGCGGCTAACGTGTGAACGCATGGCAGTCCTGTTCTGTTTTGCATACCTTGCTGTGTCCCGCGATGTCAGATACGGTAGCGCGTAATCGCTGTCAATGGCGCACTGCAGAAGGTAATCGCACAGCCGGCAAATATATACAGATTCTGGGTTACTACAAACGCCCTTTAAGCGCTTTCTCTCTGTTAAGCCATGACAGCAGAGCCGGAAGCTACACCGGCAGGGCTGGCTCGGCGGAAAGGTGTACGGCTTTGAACACCCGCAATAAAACGTGATCACTTTTACATATTTTTACTCCTTCACGTTAGTGTGAATGCTGTGGAATGTTATCAGATTGTGCTGCGCGGCATTGGGCAGTGAATGGATATTATCCCAATACCGCTCTTAATTTATGTGGGCTTATATCACCGTTGCTTACTAATGCCGGCTTACTATTGGTCGATGCTGCGTTATCACTTGCTGAACGCTGAACAGCAAGCACACTTAGCTTCGAAGATTGACTAAGGACCTGCCAGTGAAATGACAATATGAAAACGTTGCGGTCCGCTTGTAAACTCTCTATTCTCCCCTTTACTGCAAGATTTCACTGAGCTGTTCATAGCTGTGTCTGCTTTTTCTACAATTTGCTTTTTCACCAAGTTTGATTGGTAGCATATCAGCCATTGAAAGTGCTACGATGGTTTCAGTCTGAATATATGTCTTCTCCCTCTAGAGTGATGGGAGGTAGTTACGGAGCATTACTAATAAGCTTTCGTTTCAGCACCTGGGGTACAGTTATTACCAAATAACTCAGAACCTTCTGCTCTTACTAGATATCCTAATAATGTTAGCGCGGCAAGGGACTTCAAAGTAAGCAGCTGTAACACTCAGAATTACACCGATGCTGAGGATCTGCATCTGTCGTTATTCTATTACAGCATTACGAAGATAATTTTGTCAGCTCCTCTCACAGACACCAAAATTGAGAAACATTAAGAAAATAAAAAACATTTACAGCGGGTTACAACGAAATAAAACCTACGCCAATGAAATACGTGGCCGGTGTGTTATTTGTTCCACTAGCGCATACTTCCAACCTTTTTTTACCATGGGTATTTTCTCAGACAAATTGAAAATTGATCGCGTATGTCCTGTTCTTAAAGGAGACAATCCGAAACACATGATTAACTGTCGTACCATATCGGTGCTACCTGTTCTGTCGAAAGTATATTAACGTGGAATGGACAAGCGGCTCCAAAATTATTCGAGGATGAATACAGTATTATAAAACACGCAACATTTAGTTTTCAAAAACAAGTCTGCCGAACTCTAATTACTGCCAATAAAAGATCACATATTGGATATTCTTGCAAAAACTTATACACAACTGGGTTATTCATATATAAACGTAAAGCGTTCGATACCGTGTGTCATGACGTCTTCCTACAATAACTAAGCACATGTTGAATACGAGGCATTGTGCATGACTTAATGCAAAGTTGTTTAAGAAATCGATGCCATTTTTGAACATAAATAAGGAGCCATCGGAATACGTTTTAGTGAAGAAGAGAGTGCCACAGGGATCCACATAGGTCTCTCCTATTCATCATTTATATTAGTAAAATTTGCCACACTCCGAATTGCGCCAAACTAGTAAAGTACACGGACGATACATTTTTTAGGGTGCCTCACTGAATTTAGAGTGAAGGGCGTTTGTCAGACTATTGAGAAGTTCGCCTTCGCTCCATTTTTTATTCATTGACAGATAGAAACAAATAAATAAAATAAAAAATAAAATATTCTGTGACGTGGACACACGCTAATTAAGAGAAAAGATCGCACTGTCATACGCTGGGTGGCAAATTTCCAGCCCACCTCAGGTGCACCAAAAATTCTTCATTACTAATTGCGTGCTAACCGGCGGGTCTAGCTTTGCTTGGCGTCATTACGAGAAGCGCGCTGGCTAAACAGAAAAAAAAAACTGCAGCGTCTGCCCTTTCTCAATCATGTGAGCACCGGCTGTCCACTGAGGGTGCCAATGTGTTTGCTGAAATCTTAGATAATTTCTTTCTGCACTTGCTCGTTTTTTTGTTTTGCTTCCTGCGGAAATCGCTCAGCTCGCGTTACCGGCTGCCTGCCACTATATTCTCCTTTCCCGCCTATTTGCCTTAACCGCACAACACACGACAGTCGCTGGCTTGAGAAATATTGACGTTTTCTCCCTTTTGTTTGTATTTGGTCATTCAGCTATTTCAGCAGTCTCAAGTTGAACTCACGTGCGATTATGTGGATGCAACTATGCATCACAGACTCACAGGACCGACTTTTACTGCATGTCGAAGCATATTCTAATACTCCTTAAAAGTATAGTGGTATTTTGGGCACTTTAGCATGCGGGGGTGTTACTTCCTTTCACACAGGAGGGCATGAGGACACAGAGCGTCCAACGCTTCAACATTTCGCCGTGTACTCTCCCTTCCGGGCACCGAAAGTTACGCTAAAGCTCACTCAATATTTATCTAACGCGAATGCGAGGGGCTCCTTTACCTTTGCTAAACGCCAACATTACTGAGAGCTAACAGACATGAAAGAGAAAGAAAGTACAGGGCGTGTTACATGTAATACTTACCATCCAATCCTTCAAGACAACTTTTCAGCGCAAACAAGTGGGACAAAGTAAGAAGGTATGCAAAAAAAAAACGCAGACTGAAGCTTGGTTATTTAGTTTATATACAAAAATACGAGGTGAAAATAAGGATACCGAGGGAAGGAAAAACATCAGATGTAGTCATCATGTGTACACAACAAATCCAATACGGCTAGTGGGGATGCTTCCTCCTGTTACTCTTTTTCCACCACCCTTTTTGTATTTATTTCTGCTACAATTGAATCCATGTTGAGGTTCGCGCTTACTTGTGTACCTTCCTATTTTGTCCCGTGTGTTTGCGGTGCCAAATAGTGATATTGAGGCTACACCAACAAGCTCGCCTTGACACTTGCATTATTATGCACGTGAGAAGCTTGCAAAATGAGCTAAAACGTAACTTGACGTGACGATGGACCAAACCTGCTACCCACGAAAGAACGCATATACGCCATACAGTGCACTAGGGTATGGCTGCTACTGCAGCTGAGTTGGCACAACATCGGACTCATTCGATGGCTGCAGGCACTCTCCCTTGCAACGGGCAGTTGCACTTCTCGTTTCACATTTCCATTGCATCGCAAGCAATAGAAGTACCATCCAATACAGTTGAATTGCCGTTTTTGCCTTTCATTCTTCCAATACAAATCTAATGAATAGCTACGTTCAATAACTATGGCTATCGCAAACATTGGCTACAGCCTTTCTTGCAGACTAAAAGACGGCGCACGATTGGCCTAATCATTTCACTCAAACTCCCTTTCAGACTGGAACTTTCGCAACCAACGTATTAGACCTAATTATGCGTACTTTCTCAGTGCACCTGCCTTCTTTTTGTAACTATTCTACAATTACCACGTGGTGTCTTCTATACCCATAGCTCAGCCAACGGCACCTCATCTGCTCTTATAAATAGCTAATGCAATATTGATTGCCAACAGATGTTCGCCATAAGACGTCCATGACTGTTAGGTTGACTCTTGATGAATATTGAGAAAACACTAGCGCAAAACGTACAAAGACAAGACAATTATACACAGCTGCCGTTCAGAAAACACATCCAATTCTTTGACTCGTCTTCTGCTTGTTCGCATAGCGTAAACATATTTATTATTTTCCTGTATAAATGCTATTCGGTCCGCGCGGCTCCCTTCGGTTCTCACAACGTTCTAGTCTGACGCACCACCGAGATTAAGGCTCATGGGTTACGGTTACTGGTTCTATACCCCGTCTTGGCATTCTCACCGTGCACGACGAGTTCCACACTTCGGTTGACAGATGCAGCGTCATTCGAGACGAAGCACGTGTACTCGCCGTGGTCCGCGAATCGCACCCGACCGATCTTGATGATTGACGAGTCGTCCGTGGTCTCGATCACTCGCTCGCCGTGAGAACTGATCCTGAGGCCGTTCTTCAGCCATCGGAAGCGCAAAGGAGGATCGCCCTTGGACACGGAGCACATGAGTCGAGATCGGCTACCTTCTTCCACTTTTACGACGTTCGGAAAGAAATGCTCATCGATTGTTGGAGCCACTGCGTATGAGAAAAAAGCGTGTACAAACTCTGGTGTATAATTTTTTCACTTGTTTGATTTGCACAAAAATGGATCGTTGTCTAATATTACTATAAATGACTTCTTAATAGAAAAACATAGTCCACAATAAGGGACAATCGTGCGTAATAGTGCAATAGTATGAACAGTAAAATTCAGGGCAAAACAACGTCGACGTACGGCATCACGCTTGCCTTCTGTATTTTTTCAAGAGCAGATTCAAGAGCAGGCATGGCTCTGTGATAGAGTACCTCATTGCCACGCAACAGTCTCGCCTAAGATTCCGGCTAGTATCCTTGCATAAGCCGGGTGCATGCTGCGGATGTCAGTTTCTGTTGAAGTTCTCACGTATAATATACTAATGTACGCCCTCACCGTCCAGGAGTAGATATAAACTGTTAACACATGCGGCACATACTCGCACACCGTGAACAGTAGTATACGGGTACATACCACACCTGCCTATGGGAAAGGGCCTGACGATGTATGCGAAAGCACTTTCACATTCTTTATTTCGTAATCAGACAGTCATATTTCTCAAAATCTCTTACCATCCCGTACTAGTTTCTGTCTGCACCACGTTAAAGGTGATCACGAGAGCACCTAGACGTAGGCGGCCAGATAAATAAATACATACGTAGATATAAACAATGAAAGTGCCTGCACTTCAATAATAAATGCTTCGCATTTCAAAGTCTCTTTTTCCTTTGTTACTTGACCTGTGGGACGTGAAGACGAGTAGAGTGTTTCATCGTCATTAAATGGCGCACAGATTGAGACTATCGTGATAAGACTTGCAATTAGCTCCGAACCACGTTAGCAGATATTTGTATAACAATAATTCACACAAATATATATATATATATATATATATATATATATATATATATATATATATATATATACACTCTCTGAATTGATGATGAGAAAGAACAAGATATTTGAAAATAATTATTGCTCTCCTCAATCGTCTACGGAACCTACTTCAGTTAAAACTACTCAGTTCAAGATGCGTTTATTTTATTGAGACCCCTTATTCCAACCTTTAAATAGCGTGTTAGTAGCTCTCTATATAAGTATGACTGGAATCAGCTGTACACATTAGGCGCTTGAAAAAAAAAGGCATGCTTGTGCGCAACACGCAGCACAGTCACAGCGAAAGCGGGAAGAGGGCCTTTCTGAAGACCTTTCAAAATATTCTTTTAGTAACTGCTACAAGAATACTTGCAGGGTACCCACTACTCAATATTTCATCATTATTTTAGTGTAGAAGGCAAGCAATAACTGTAACTCTTCGTTATTCTTAGCAAAACCACGCTGCCCGCTACACAAGCAATAAATTTTGTGCAATTTCTTGATGCTGTGGCTGACGAGGATGAATAAATACAGCTGACACTTTTGTAATAGAATAGCGTATTCGATGACCCACTCGTTACCCCATTCACATTGTATGACGCCTCGTGTTTTCTTTGTCGTTTTAAAATGATTTATTACTCATTATAACGAGATTTTTTTTCCTGGTAACAAAGCTGCGTAGGGCCACTTTGCAAAGTTTGAACCACCGGCGGGGCTCAGTCGTAGAAAGCTCGGCTGGCACGCAGGGGACCCAAGTACAAATTTTGTTGGTTTATTGGTAAGTTCCATATACTTGGCTTTTTTTTAAATTTCGTGCGACAGTGGTTACGGACGCCAACAGCGATAGCGACGGACAACTATGCTGCGCACCGCCCATTTTCTGCTCTCATAACAGCTTTCGCTGTGGAAAAATCGATATCTTCCCCCGTGTTGTCCTCGCACATGTGTGCCTGGGCCCTACTTCAATGCAGCCGAATAAGTTTTCTGCTGTTGTAAGTTCAGTCTCGGAAACCCCTGGTAGGCTGCGCCATCGCTGTGAAATGGATCCGCTGTGCAAACAAGATGCGCGAAGAACCATGACAGCAGCCAGCCCAATTGGTAAATAAATAAGGGCGCAACCATTGCGAATATAAAGATTCGACCTTTCGCATTTCGTGTTTCTAACGCAAAAACACACACGTATACTAAAGGACAAACGTGATAGCGACGTCAGAGAGAGTAAACATAGTGCTCGAAGTTGGCCATGCCACCCCGCCCTTCATGATGACGTTATGCAGGGAGGCACAGAGCTCAATATAGCGCAATATAGCTTGCGGAAGTCGTGTCGAGTCCGAAGATTAGCTGTATAAGTTAGCAATCATGGATCTACAAGTGTACGAGCTAGGTATTTGTCTGCGTCTCATAAACGCTGAAAGAATGCCACGCACGCCGCCAGTTCTACATGTACCATATTTAATTAGGGCCACGGCCATACCATCAGCAGTTATGTTTCATGTAATGGCACACATATTTGTCACCCTTTGATGCATAAAATGAAGTATATGTAATTGTGATGATACGCTGCTTGTTTTTACTTCTTTCCAACTTAAAAAAATTTTTGGAGGATTCTAAGCCCCACTTTTCTGCTAGTTCGAGTCCTCGGTTGTATGCGCCCGTTACAATTGAGCTCGAAAGCGAAATCAGTAGCAAAGATTTCAATTACTTTACTACCAAAAACTTACGCCTTATGACCGAAAGCACACAGGAATTGTGCAAATACAGTATATAAAAGTATATATTTTAACCAAGCCGGTTCACCGTTTCCGAAGTGTGGAAATCTCATCAAAAAGGCGTGGCTTTCAAAGTGTTATATAACAAGAAACCGACAGCATTTCAGCGTTCACATCAATGGCGTTCATCGCAATTACATTTTTTACTACACTATAGAAATACCACGTTACTCCCTCACCAAGCCCCGACAATCATATAATCGGGAAGAGGAAAATACAGTAATAACCTTCAAGTATGCATGAACGCATCTGCGTGCAACGAAAAGCATACGAATTTTCATTTCACCCATACTTGAACACAATGCTAGAGCAAGGAGGAGTGATAGTGCTTTATCTTCTCAACGAACTTCGGGACAGTCACTTAGCTTGTTTAAAGCATTTTTGTAATCGATTTAAATAACTCATTTTTTAATGTAAACTTACCGACCACTGAGACGTAGGTCGAACCACTGGCAACGAGTTGTGAACGTCCCGTGATGGCGCAGGTGTATTCGCCTTCGTCGGCAAACTTAAGCGCCTGTTGTACAAGAAGGCGCCCTCTGTTGTCCACAGATTGCCGATAGTTCACTGGAAGCACCATCCCCGCTGCAAACACCGAGTGTAAACGAACAGAATTAAGACAATGCATCGAGAAGCCGATCAGGTGTAGCTTGGATGAGCTCTGCGCGTAGCTACGCCGAATGCTAGTGCGCTGTTTTCGATTAAATATCCAGCAAGTAGCTGAATATATATATATATATATATATATATATATATATATATATATATATATATATATATATATATATATATATATATATATATATATATATACATATATATATATATACATATATATATATATATATATATATATAGAGAGAGAGAGAGAGAGAGAGAGAGAAAGGGAAGAGTTCGAAAACACCATACTAGCGAATGCGTGGCATCCGCATTACTTCCCGCCACTGTCTAAGTGAATACTCCACCTTGATATAAGTATCTATGCATTCACGCTAGATAACTGGGTACGAAAGGTGGCGAACCTATCTCTCCTATAAAATCAATCAAAGGGAAGTCCATGGATATTGCGTTTCTGTCGAGTGCAATATGTCGTGGCGTGGTCAGCGTGGATTGCAAAAGACGCCGAAGCGAAGCCCCACACCATCCGTCTAGTCGACTGCGGAAGCGGCTAGAGAAATGCGGTCCATGTTCCGAGTGCTACGCGGGCAATGCTATCTCGTATCTTCAAGCATGGCCTCCATGACACTTCATGAGATGCCGTTGGCTCAGGTAAATGAGGGAGGGCATGACTTCAACAGTGCTGATGTTTGAAGATAACACGGCATGCCGAGGTTGACGTCACCGCGTTTACTCATCGTCTGAAAAAGTCCAGCGGCCACAACCGCTTTCTTTCGTTGCCAAAAAGCGGTATTTGCGTTTAAATTTGCAACTGTTATGTCGCTGTTTGAATTCAGCGGCGATCAGATGGTTCTTACGATCTTTGAAGTAACTTTTTTTTAATGCTCTAACTTCTCCTAAGCATTTTGTTGTGCTGGGTAGTACGAAGTGCAAGTTTCAACATCATGAACCAGTAAGCGATTCGTTCGTTTTTTTTAACGCTTGCTTCGCTCTCACAACACTACACAAGTGCGTCGATTGTTTTAGTGTTGAATACAAAAACTACAATGAAGGAGTCAACAATTACCTGAACTCACATAACCACGATTCGTAGCACTGTAAAATTTACGCCTTGTAAAATTTACGTAATAACAGTCACATGACAAAATGGCATCATCACGCAATGGGTAGTCACGTGACATGTGTAGTTGTACTCAGTACAATAAGCAAAAAAGGTGTTACCTCCAGGAAAGCTTACAATTAGCCCACCGGCCAAACTTTGTTCGAAACAAGCTCTGCTGATAGTTCCAGTTAAGGCCGGAATGAACGAGCGCGAGCAGACACGCTAGCACGCCTTCCTAGTCCCGGCGTGTTCCATTCTTCCACCTCTAGAGCAAGCGGTTCACTTTGTTGTGTAATTGCGTAAAAGATGAATGCCGGAAGACCGCTGTTTTGTATGACGCCGAATGGTTAGTCTGTTATGCTGCGGAAGCGCACACCTAGAAGGCACTCGCGAAAACCGTTTCCGGAAGACACATGATGCCTCTCACGGAATATGATGCCCAGTTAACCAAAGTTTTTTTTTCCCTTCCGTCCCATCAGTCAAACTTTCACTGGGTTTATACCACAGATACAAGCCTAAGCTTCACACTACTCACCTTTCCGCCACACCAGGGACTCTAGGGGATAACCGCCATACGGGCACCGTAGTGTCAGCAGGGTTCCTGATACCACGGTGACGTTGCGGAGTGGTCGCACAAAGGGCGCTCCTTCGACGTCCACTCTGGCCGAATGAGCGTCGGTGGCGATGTCATTTCGTGCAACGCAGCTGTACTCCCCACTGTCCTCAAGTCTGGCGTCTGAGATGTTCAGCACAGACTGCACATCAGAAGCAGAGCGCTCGGCGGTGATCCTGAGTCTTTGAGATGGATAGAGAAAATCGCCGTCGATTGCCCAGCTGATCTCGGGCGTCGGGCTGCCACGGGCACGGCACCGAAGCGACACAGCCTCCCCTCGTTTTACGGTCACCGATCCGAAAGTCTCCTCCAGTGTTGGTGACATGTCTGCGCTGGCGGAATCAGGAAGAACCCATGTGTGAAATAGAACTTTAGCCACCGTAGAAGCTTTACCCGCACTAAATACATTAGCAACCCGAGTACCAAGAACATTTATTGGCACTTGAGGATAGCAAAACACTTCAAATGATAAAAATTGTCCTGAATATTGACATGTGTGGTCCTTTTTCATCCATTTCGCCAGAGTTTTGTTAATATAAATCTTGTAATAGGTTTTTGTGAGTTTTACAAGTGAAGTTGTTTCGCCAAAAAATGTGTTACACTATCAAGTTCTGTAGGCCCGTGTACTCAGATTTGGGTGCACGTTAAAGAACCCCAGGTGGTCAAAATTTCCGGAGCCCTCCACTACGGCGTCTCTCATAATCATATGGTGGTTTTGGGACGTTAAACACCACAAATCAATCAATCAATCAATCACTATCAAGTTCCTTTTTTTTTTGACAAGAGTCTTTTGTTACTAGCACGACTATGTAAGTTTTTTCAACAAATCATTAGGTGCCTTTAAAAAACTAGATTTTCGTGTGTAGAAATTTTTAAGAAACACCTTACCAATCACACTTTTTTGGCGCTGATTACAAAGGAGATTTACGGAAGGAGCGCATCTGGATTCCATACGAACTCGCTGCAACATTTAAAGACGTGATCTGATCCCCTGATTTAAACAGTGAAATGACATAGCCGGTCTACTTCAGAGAGGAACCCTGGGAAGAGCTACTGTAATTTTATCGGCAGTCACAATATCAGGGAGCCTTTGTGAGTGAAACATCATTCACTCATGCGGTCACTCGTTAGCGTGACGAGTAATAAAACTGCAGCTAGGGCGACGTTCACACCCTTCGTATATAAAAAACGATCAGTGGTGAGAGCAGATGGGAGAAACGTTGCATTACGGCTAATGCTCACGCTGATGCACAGAATCACCTCATTATTTAGGATTCAGCACACTAAGCAACGGGGAGCATCGAGAAAGCAAAACGATAAAATGATTATCTCGTATCGCCCAACCAAACGAATGTTGCAAAAGGAGAACAGATGGGGGCTGGATTCCGTTAGTGACAGATAAATACAAATGCCAGCTGCTTATCACTTCCGCTGCTGTTGGCGGTAAAGAGTAGATATCACCGCGTGTGCTTATCGCGTTCTTCTTAGCTGCTTACTTTGCTTTCGTGCACTATTTGTCATTGTGCCATGCTTGTAAAAGAATAAAACAAGAAAGACGTAGGCGTTACCAGACTTACAAGCTTGAGTGGCATTATAAAGTGGTTATTTACAGTCATTACACCATCAGAGACAGCGTACACAGTCAAGTACCAGACGTTTTGTTCACTTGGTTTGGTTTGGTTTGGTTTGGTTTTTTATGGCGCATAGGCAGCTTAAGCCATCATGCACCAAACGCATGGTATGATTCTCTTAAAATGTTGGGATGCCTCGCCGAGTCCTTGCCAAGGCAAGGCCCTTGAGGATACCAACCAGGTCCAAAAAACCTCGATCGTCTTCTCAAAAGTGGGAAGCCCTAAGAGGTGTTTTTTGTGTATTTAGACGATGCAGGGTAAAAGTTTAGAGTTTTTCTAAAAATCCTGCTTCTTTTAGGAAGCTAAAAACTTCCGAGTTATCAACAAGCGAGTCTTCACTTATAAGCAGCGCCAGATGAAGAGATATATATGTTCGTTGTAAAATACAATAAAATGTTTTTCCGTAATCATTCCAATTTAGTGGATGACAGTAAAATATTATTTACTGATACCTCACCTCCGAATTTCGGACACAGAGGTTTTCCTCTTTTGCTAGTAAGTAAATATGAGTGAGGTGCGTGTGTCCATGCGTAAACGACATAAAACTACTCCTATGAACCGTTCTTGGTGTGAGCAGGACTTCCACTCTTCTAAGGTGGGTTTCACTAGGTGGAGCTTGTTTTCTGTTTCTGAATGCCATCTAGTTTGCCATGCATTTCTGTGTTTGCGGTGTACTGATTTTATAACATCTTTGTAGGGAATGCTGACGTTCTTTGTTTCTCCACGCTGTGCTTTTGCTGCACATTCATCTGCCTTCTCGTTTCCACAGATTCCGACGTGGCTCGGTACCCAGCAAAGCTCTATGTTGTGTCCCTGTTCTATAACAATTATTATGTTGTGTGGGATGTCATCTACATTGGTACACACGCGTTTCTCGAATGAAGGGCTCTTTGTACATTTAATAAGTCTGTGTGTAATATACTTTTCTCGATGTTTTCTTTTTGATTCTGTCACCGCTATTGAGACAGCGTAGCATTCTGCGGTAAATACGGATGTGCTTTGCGGTAGCCGAACTGTATGTTTCCAATAATTCTGTATAATAGCGTTTCCACCATATCGTGTCGATTTGGAACCACCTGTGTAAAATGCTGTGTGTCTCGCATATTTTGCCTGAAGTGCTAGCCATTTTTGCAGTATAAGCTCACGCGGGGTTTCCTTTTTTCTAAATTCAGTCAGCGTGAAGTCGCACACAGAGGGGAGGCAGTACCAACGTGGGAGTGCATTGGGTCTCTGAGCAATCATCGGCAACGGGTCCTTTATATATAAATCTTGGCACTTCTCTTCAAATCTGAGAAGCAGCGGCCTAATTGCTTAGGGTTTGTTAATAAATAGTGTTCCGGGTGGCCATTGAGTTACTATAGGGTGACAAAGGCAGTTGGCCATTAATCGAATCTTTAGAACTTATGAGCATGTGAGCATGATTATTCTGTCTCCCAGTGGTGGTTCATTTGCCTTTACATACAGACTTTTTATAGGTGACGTCCTAAATGCACCGGTTTTGAGGCGCAGACCTTGATTGTGTACCGGAGCCAGCTGTTTCAGATACAATTTTCTCGCTGATCTATACACTATACTACCATAATCTAGGCAGGATCGTATACCAGAGCGGTAAATTTGTTGTAGACCTGTCCTATTTGAACCCCAGTGTTTTCGGGACAGGACCTCCAGTATGTTCAAAGATTGGGATGCTTTTTTCTTCAACGTTTTTGTGTGTGGAAGGAGTGTAAGTTTCTTATCAAATACTATGCCTAAGAACTTATGTTTTTTCTTTACTGGTAATTCGGTTTGATTTAGGTGTAATGTAGGGTCTGTCTGTATGCCTCGTTTGAGAGAGAAGAGAATGGCCACGGTTTTTTGTGCAGGAAAGCGGGAACCATTACTGTATGCCCATGTTGTTATTTTGTTAATCGCTAACTGCACTTGTCTTTTACATGTAGATGTGTTGCAGGATGTGCCAGTTATTTGGAGGTCGTCGACGTAGAGTGAGTACATGATGAACTTGGGTATTACTTTGCTGATCGAGTTTATTTTTATGACAAATAGTGCTGTGCCTAGAAAGCACCCTTGGGGCACTCCATTTTCTTGAGTGAAACTTTTCGATAGTGTTGAACCTATACGCGACTAGAATGAACGGTCCAATAGGGAGTCGTTGAGGCAGTTCAACATCCTTCCGCGGATTCCTAGTTCAGCCAGATCCTGGAGGATTCCGAACCTCCAGGTGGTGTCGTACGCCCTTTGTAAATAAAAAAACTATAAAAAATTCCACGTACGATGGGAATCTGTGATATGCAAAGCACGAAAGAGTAAGGTTGATATACCACTTTAAGATGAGCACAACGTTACGAAGCGGAGGTAAATTATGCCATACATGACTTCCTTGTCAGGATTATCATGTTTGAACGTGTCATTAACCTTCGTGATCTTATGACACCTGATTCGAAATTTGATTTATGTGGAGCAACCGAAATGACCCGAAGTGCATTATTATGTGCCAATACACTCCGACGCAACGTTGACGCACGCGCAGTCTAAGCACAGCGACGCTGCGCTGGTGAAACGCGAGAACTCTATAGTCTGACGCCAGGCTCGACCCGCGTCCGTCAGCGTGGCCCCGCGGCAACTGGCGCTAAGTGCGACTTGGTGTGACGTTACCCAGACAGCACTGCTTCTGCCACTCTTTAATAAGGAGGGACGCGGGCAGTGCTCAAACGCGCAGGTGTCTAAGAAACGCAGTGCGACGCGCACCTGCGAGTATGAGGCAGGCAGATTGGCGCCTAGCGTGGCATCTCCCTCGTGACAGGACGAAACGAACGCCGGCGCGCACGCGCACCAGGTCCCGTCGAAGTGTATTGATGCCTTGAGTGTGAAATGTAGTCATGTTCTTACATGACACGCATCTCATGATTATCATATTTGCACCAGTCACATACCTTCGTCATCCATTTGCGTCAGGTATTACCAAGTTTGGTATACGTGAAGCTAGCGAAACGACCGCGAGCGCATCATGAGCGTGGCATGTAGTCATGTCCTAACATGACACGCATCTCATTACTATCATGTTTGCACCAGTCATATGCCTTCGTCATGCATTCACGTCTCGTAATACCGATTTCGGTATACGTAAAGCTAGCGGAACGACCACGAGCGCACCGTGAGCGTGGCGTGTAGTCTTGACTCATGACTTACATGAAAAGCATGTCATGATTTTTGCGTTAAGGTCTGCCGCTTGCGTTCGCCATGCAGTCAAGTCATACCAAACCAGTTTTGCAACATGTCTTGTGAACAAAACCACCACGAGAGCAGCAAGACCATGAAATATAAATCATGACTTTTATGACATAAATATCATAATTTTCAAGTTATGACTAGTCACTTACACTTGTAATATAGTCACGTTATGCCCTACCAAGTTTGGTATCGATACCAATAATGAAACGGCCACGAGAGCTAAAAGTTCTAAGCGGATAGATAGATAGATAGATAGATAGATAGATAGATAGATAGATAGATAGATAGATAGATAGATAGATAGATAGATAGATAGATAGATAGATAGATAGATAGATAGATAGATAGATAGATAGATAGATAGATAGATAGATAGATAGATAGATAGATAGATAGATAGATAGAAACGCTCAATGTCACCAAAGTTCACTAATCAATGATTCGCATTTAAAAGGCGGCCAGACAAAT